ATATCTTAGACCATTTTGTAAATATTTTCATATTGTCCTTTTCTTTTGAGGATTTTTATCTTTAGAATCGATCGATCTTCCACACTTCGGGCATGCTTTAGATTCATTAGCTATATCATTAATAGATCGTCCCTCTAGGACATCAATTCTAATAAAAACATTCTCAACGAGGGCATGTATTTTAGTTACTCTTTTAGGATATGAGAATGCATCTAGCAGTTGATTTGTAATACCTTGTAAACGAATTATCTTCTGAACTTTTAGTTCATATGTTTTGTACCAAATTGATATAAGAAATAGAGTACTCTATGTAATCTCTTTTTTTCAATATTTTCAACTACTTATTTTGTTTATTCTCTCTCCCCGATGTTGGAAAAATTATTTCATCAAAATAACGAGTCAATAAATCAAGTTGTAAAAATATCACTTATTCATGATTCAAGATATTTAATTATCGAAAAAATATTCAAATCCGACATATATTCCTAAGCTCCTTTAAGTGTCCATTTTATTTTGTTATGAAGGAGCACTACGAACACACATCTGCAATGCCAAAAATTCTTAAATAAAAAAATATTTGGCTTTTGACCATAAATCAATTAAAGAGGAGAGAAGTTTTTATAACTTATGGGTCTAATGAGAATAAGTGTTGCTGCATGTATGATTGCTTGTCCTCAAACATAAACAGGGAGTATTATTTTTAAATAATGATTTAGCTATCAATTGGAGTCTTTTGATAAATAATTTTTGCTAAACCTTTCGAGTATGGACATGAGCAATAGGTTATTTAACCTTTATTCTAATAGCAATCAATAATAATTTAATGCTTGAGAAATAAATTCACTAACATTATTAAGGTGACGTATTTTAATGGCATAATTTGAAAATTATGCTCAAAATCAAATTATTTACTATCAATCTCGAAAACGTCGGGTTTCAAGTAGATAATAAGCATATATGTGACTACTTTTTGGAAGCATTGATTAAAATCATAAAATATTTAAATAGTCCACATGATGGATGAATTGATCTATATATATCACCTTGAATACATTCTAAAAATACCAAAGATTCAATCTCAATTTTACTTAGTGATGGCTTAATTATCAATTTGCCTTGACAACATGCAAAATATAAAAATTCATTAAATTGAAGAATCTTCTCGCTCTTCAATGGGTATCCATATGATTTTTTAATAATGTTTTGCATCATGAAAGACCCAAGATAACATAACTAATCATGTCACATAATAAAAGTATTTGAATTAGTCAACTTTTGGTTTACTATAGCATTTGTTTCAATCATTTCAATATTTGTAATAAAGACTAGTAAAGAAAATAGATAAAATTTTTAATACATATTTTCTACCTGGTATAATGATTATAATATATAAGTATTCACATTTGCTATCTTGATATGATATCAATTTAGATGAATATCTTTGAAACACAATAAATTTCTATGACTTTGAAGAGAATAGTACATCATTTATAATGAATATATCTTTTCGGATAATAATATATTTGCTCTTCCGGAGCCTTTAAATTATGTCACTTTAAGTAATAATAAATTCACTTTTTTAGAACTTCAAAAGTTTATCTTTTTATGTAATAATATAATCGCTATTCTAGAGCTTTCTATTACATTGATATTATCATATACAATATTAATACAAAATAATCAAATAAACAATTAAATGCAAAATAAATAAATTCTTCATAATCATATATATATATATATATAGTAAAATAAATTCATCACTATCTCTATACAATTATATGAAAATATAAAATATCTTATTTATAAATAAAAAAGCTAACAAGTTATTAATTTCAATTATCTCTATTATAATGTATAAAATTTGCCTTTATATTTTATTTTTCTTTTTCGAGTGAGGTTTGACAAGGCTTAATGAGGTGCTTTGGTGTACAAGCAGGTACAAGATCAATATTCATTCATTTCACATCTATAATATTTATTTTTCAGAATGCTAACTTTATCTATTTTCATTCTTTTTTTTTCTTAATAGTTATCCATTTTTGGTGGTGAGATGTAATATTATGGTCATGATAATTATAATGATAATTATTTCGACCACATCCATGGCTATGATCATATCTTCTTCCATGCCTAAAATTATTATAAATTGTCACATTCACTTTAGGGAATGGAATAGATCCAATTAGACGATATTTAGTCTTTTTCATCAATAGCTTTTCATTTTATTTAGCCACGAATATGAAATTGATTTAAAATATTTCTTAAATTCATTTTCTCGATATTGCTACTACATGAGCATATTCAAGATATAAAAAGTAGAGAATATTTTTTCAAAATCAAGCACTCATAATCAATAATTTTTATTCGAAATATCAAGAGCCACAAAATTAGGTTTATGAGATTTGATATGATAAAAATTCTATAATGTAATATATAATAAAAATATTAGAAAATAAGAACGAGACATAATAATAAAATTAAAGCTTTTGAAACAACATTTCTTAGATCATTAGATTCTATATATTAAATCCTTTAAGTTTTTCAAATGTATATTATATATATCATTATATTTAAAGTACATGATAAATTAGATACATACCTCTTCATGATCTAAATAATTTAGATCTTTTGATAGAGTACTTGTGTAGAAGAAATCCAATGGTTGAAACAATTGATTAAGTCTTTTGGTAGATACATACCTCATGGTCTATTGTCTCGATTGATTAGAGTTTCATACCGATAACGTGTTATAAAAAAAATAAAAATAATAGGAGAATTGAAAAAAATGATGACAAAAAAATGAAATCATTATAATGTGAATACAAGTGATAAAAACTTCAAAGTTTCTCTTATTTTCTCTATAAAACTTGTACATTAACTAATGAACAATCAAGTCTATTTATAGGCTTCAAATTTGATAAGAGAATTAGAAGGGACTATTAATAATAAATTGCATCACTTTTTTAATTTCTCATATTGAATGATGAATTGAATCATATTAAAAATCATGAGTATTGGAGATATGAAAAGTAAATAAATATGATGATAAACATTCATTATTTCGTAACACTTTCTTTCATTTAATGTTTTTTTTTTTAAATTGAAAAAGATTGAAAAAGACCAGGCGAATTGAATAGATTTTTAGACTGCTAACAAATAATTTTCCATTTTGATTTTTTTCGTTTTTTACCTCTCCATCATTTATTTATTTTATTTATTTTTTTTTCTAAATTGAAAAAGATTGAAAAAGACCAGGCGAATTGAATAGATTTTTAGACTGTTAACAAATAATTTTCCATTTTTCTTTTTTTCGTTTTTTACCTTTCCATCATTCTTCTTCTGCATCATTAATTTCTCCCACCTGATTCATTGTCTCTGCTTTCTATTTCTCTATTCATTAAACATGGCATGAAAGGACATTGACTTGAAGGTCTTGAAGCAAAAACACGGTTTTTTCATTAAAACATTTGCCTTTCTGAATGGAGGACTCGAAAAGACATTTTAAAGTCGTTTGTATAGTCAATATTTCATGATTATTTGATTGACTACAGTTTTTATGACTCTGCATTGCGCGTAGACCTATGCCATACAGTTTTCCTTTTGTTCTGCCTTGTGAAAGACGTTATTAGAGATTACGTATACATTAGGTCAACATGTATCAGCAGGAAAATTCCAGCTGCGAGGAAGCCACTGAGTGAGCTCTTAAAAGGTTTTACTTACAAATTGCTTCACCAGTCATACAAGTATGAGAAGACAACGCATGCAACTTTGTTTCCATATCCTTCAGGTTAAAGTGAAGATCATCAGATAACTTATATGACCAAGTAGTTTAAACAGACTTCAAAAGTTTAACGGACTTTTAAAATTTAAGTAGTGTAACAGATATTGGTTTACTTTTTATAGTGAATGTGTATAGGTTGGTCTAATTTCCTTATCGCTTGTTTATTTACGTCTTTTCCAATATTCCGGTTTTAAATTTTTCTGGTTTTAAACTGTAAGCCAGGAATCAGGCTTCCAGACTAACTTAGATTCAGAAGTCCAAAGTTTTGTATATTTTTATTGTTAAATTTTCTCGTAACATTACCAAAATAAGAGTACAAGATTGATTCGACGGATCAAGATCTTTTTCATAAAACTTTCTGCAACTATGATACTGTTATTTTTTGTTTTTCTAAACCACCGACAGCCAACCAACCAACCATTAAGATTTAGCAAGCTCTATCTTACCAACAAAATCCCAAAAAGACAAAGTACAATCCAGTTGTCTATAACAGCTATAAAGCATCCCTCCAAATGGAGTCATCAAACATATTTTTGAAAAGTTTTTCAGGAAAGAATGTTGTGTACATATACAATGACTTGATACACAAGACTATACACAATGAAGTGCTCAACAAGCTTTATCACTTCAAAGGCACTAACACTCGTAAGTTCCAATACACAAATACTTCTAGGCATATGCAGTTTTTAATTAGAGCATTACCAGGGCAGTCTAACCCAAGCATGCTGAGTGTGTCAAAAGAAATGGTGAAACAAGAAAACAAAATCTAACAGACCACTTCAACTAGTCGAACTACACTCCACAGCCACAAGAAATCTTTAATCTGTAAATATTCCAGGACAATTTCTAAGATCTTGTAGCAGATGACAGAAAGAACAATCTCTTCCCCTACGAAATGATGAATAGAATTTTGATTTAGGATGATAATGAAGCAAAAGCACAAGGAGCTATCTGAGGAAACCATCTGAGACTTATATAAGATCGGCTAGCGTCATAAAGGGAAGCAGGGCGGACATCAGAGCTGAAGCATTGAAGAGCGTATTAAGCCTATTATTGAACATGATACTTCCTCACTCCTTTTCTTCTCAAGAACGTATGATGATAGAATTCATCAAAGGACAGACGTTGAACTGTAACAAGGGAGATATAAAAAATGAAGGGTTCCATGAACGATTAAGAGAAGAAAGAAAATATATGATTTGTTGGGTCAGGTCAGGTGCTAAACCTGGATTTGCAGAAAGAAGTCTTGAGCATATGTCAACACAGTCTGGATGCAATCCTGAAAGGATGTGTTGAGAGAAAGGAAGGCATGAACATGACGTGATGTTCTGCAGCAACTGAGGTCAAGAAAACTTTAATAGAGATTGGAGCTAGCAGAATTTGAGGATTCTAAACTTAGGGAAAAGGTACTACCTGAAAATTAGTCCTGCCATGGAAAGGTTGGTAACCATTAAGAAGTTCAAAAAGAATTGCACCAACACTCCACATGTCAACCTATATATTAAGTTCTGATTTTCAGGGATTCTAGTTCGAAACAAAGAAATCAATGAGCCAAAGGAAAGCATTAGCAAAATCCTTGCCTTATCATCATATCTTTGAAATTTAAGAACTTCTGGAGCCAGGTATAAAGGAGAGCCACATACTGTATCAGCATACTTGCCTGGATGCACCCTTCTGTTTTAAGCGTGAGAAAATAAGAAAGAAAGATTAATATATGGTCTGACAAGTCTTTAACAAATTTTCTTAATTAAGGGGGAAAATAACTAAACAGCCTCAAGCTAGTCTTCTGGAAAAACTTCCAAGACCTTCCTGTAAACCATCAAATTAACTTTATTCTACTAAAAGTTACCTCGACAAACCAAAATCAGCAATTTTGAGCACCATATCTCTCTCCTTGCCAGATAAGAGAATGTTCTACTCCAACAAATGGAACATGTAAGCCAGTTTTTTCAAGGAATTTCAACCTTACAGCCACTAATTATGAACTCCGTCATAGGCAAAAGAGTTGCACACATAACACTTCTCATACCTCAGGTTTCAAGTCTCTATGAATGATATGATGGCTATGCAAAATTTCCAAACCAGCTCCTGAACCATATAAATCATCAAGATTATGCATCTGTAAACAGAGATGTAATACTAGCAACTCCAAGGTTGTTAGGCTGTAGTATGAAATAGATTTCAAATTACCTAGCTGTTGCATAAATCTTCTAGCAATCTTCTCTTGAACTCTCCCATGTTGTCGAATATAAGAAGATAGATTTCCTCCAGCACAAAACTCTAGAACCAGGAACATACATCTTTCATCCTGAGATTAAAGATATTTTATCTTGCAGAAATGAAATACGGAAACAGAAATCAGATAAATCACAGATACAGAAGATGAAGCAAATAAGATAAAACTCAAAACGAAAATCTCCTTTACATATTTTAGGTGTGGAGGTACATGTATCCTTCTGCACCATTCTGCTCAATCTAGAGAATACCCTCAGTGATTTAAGAATTTCTAGGATTCCTGTTCATAGACTTCCTAATAAAGTTTCTGTCATTTATCTACATTTCTCGAGAGATGGCAGCTTGGTAAGAGATGCTACTCTGGTGGGTATTGAGATGGTGGATTTTGGAGAGGGAGAGAGGAGGTATATATCAGAAGGCTTTTGATCTGGTTTTAAGAGGGTAAAGGGTTTAGGTGGGAGAAAAAAATTAAAAAGACTTCGTTCCTTTGTTCTACTCTGTCAAGGAGAATGGAGAGTGACTGCATTTTATGGTATGAAAAGTCTTGCAAAGGAAACCCCCGTCTTTTCTCTACTGTCCTTGGCAAGATGGTTGATACAAGGGTGGATGGAGAACTAGTGAAACGAAGCTGGTGAAGAGTTTTTCCCTCCCTCATCAGTAGTTTGCCAATGACATCAGTCTTCTTTCAGTCTATGGACAGATAGGGGCTGAACAACGTAATGCCTTTCGTGCAGATTTTGGCAATTGTCTGGTTTAAGGTTAAACACATCAAAGGTTAGAATGAAGGGCATTCATACAGGACCTGATTTGCTTCTCAACTAGCCATTGGCATATCTAGAGGTCCCCACGGTGGCAATCCAGATGTTCCAGCCTTGTAGAAGTTGAAACAGTAAATTCTTAATTGAATCAAATTTTATTCTCTCTTGCTTTGCTCCAACAATTTAACGATTGATACACTGTCTAATAACCTGGATTTCATCTTTTCATTATTCTAAGATTACATCCTCCATTCACAACATCAATTTTCAATGCTATGAATCCCTTCTCAATATAAATACTAATTAAAGTTTGCAAATTAAGCCAAATCACCTTAACTAAAACAATTCGAGCTATTAATCCAAAATTTACCACGGTAATGAACCCTGAGTAGCAAAATCAACCAACTTTCCAATCAATTGTCCTAAACCAATGAACTTTTTTAAAAGGGTATGTTAAATATCAAGCAAAAAATAAAAATAAAAATAAATAAATTTACAAAATGGGTAATCGTACAAATCCCCTGACTATCAAAACCAACAAACCCTACAATCAATCAAACAACATAAATCACCCTACAACATCAACAACGACAACAAATTTACTTAAAAAGGGAATACTAAAATTACCTCAAAGACATCAAGAAGGCGAATGATGTTGGGGTGATTAACAGAGGACAAGAAATTAAGCTCACAATCTAGACAGTTCCTCAAATTCTTGTTGAGTTTAGAGAGATAAACTTGCTTCACTGCTACTTTTTCCCCTGTTAATCTGTTCTCTGCTTTCCAGACAACGGAAAAAGAGCTTTCACCCAGTTTTGAATTCAGCATGTAGTTCCCAACTGGGAGAGATTGTGGCAGATTCTTTATTGCTTCCGGATCCATTTCGGTTGGTTTTGGATGGTTCTACAAAGAGTGGAAACTGAATATTTTCCTATGTATTTTTGTTGTTGTTGTTGTAGTTATGGCTTTTTTTAACGTCGCAGGTAAAGAGATAGATTAACATTGACATTAACGGAACAACTAAAAGAAAAGGGAAATGAACAGTGATTTTCACTGTTCACTTCTCACGGGTCACTGTGGATGCATTGTAGATAAAAATGTTAATTTTTATAATTTTCAAACCCTTTTTAGATATTTATGTTCAAATTTTACATTACGTTTTATTCTGCTTTCTGAATAAACAGTGGTTTTTCACTAATCATCTTCTTATAAGTCACTATTAACTAATAAACTAAACGAAAACACAATTTTATTATAACTATACTATTTGAAATACTGTACACACACACTTATATTTTACTATTCATCATCTCATAATTCACTCGTTATTTTCACTATTCATAATTTCTTTTTACACTTTGATCTTTGATATTTTCAAACGTATATTTCGATTCATATGTTCATTTGCTCATCCATTTTGATCCTCGCGTGCGAGAGAAGGTCGAGAGAAAGAGAAAGGCGGGAGGAGAGAGAGATCATCGGCTAAGCTCATTTAGGCTACTATGGCGGACGAAAATCCACTAGATTTTTTTTTTTTTATCTTTAAGAGATGAGTTTATCCATGGTGGTTTCAAGCCATTAAACAATTAAAGAAGGTAGATCAAAGCCAAAAAAGAAAAAAAATCCTATTTGATTTTGTATTTTTCTTTATTTTTTAGTATATTAAAATTAATTTTAAGGCTTTAGATGTGTTTATTAGTTTAATTTCTATAATTTGAGGTGTTTAGAAAAAAAATGATGCTGGAATTTAATTTTTAAGAGTCGAAAGTTGACCTTCGATTTTTCGATAAACTTTCGACAATCTCGGGTTCACTAAAAGTTGCATGTTTATATTTTTTTTTCGACAAGCAAGCATAACGAGCCCACGCGTAGGCCAACTACTCCTTGCCTCCCTCACATTTTTTTTTTTAATATGTGCAACCTGGTTGCACAAGTCAACTAAGCGCTTATCCTGGTTGGCTTGCAACCAAGCACCCCCTATCTCTCTCTCTCTCTCATATATATATATATATATATATATAAGGGAAAAAAATTACGAAAAAAGTCTATCAAACAAAAAAAATATAAAATATAAAAAATACATCGTTCTTTTTTTAGTTTTCATATATATATATATATATATATATATATATCTTACTTTTATTGTTTAATTTAATTTTTTAATTATTTATTTCTTATTAAAATTCACATAAAAATAATTTTTGATTTAATTTTATTTGTTAATATTTTATTTTTTTAATATATGAATTTTGAAATGAAATTTTAGAACTTTAGTGTTTTATTTTTTAAATATATCATTATAATTTATACAATATATATATTTTTTACTTTTTAAATGAAAATTTTTTATTGATTATTTTTATTATTTTAAATTTACTACTTTAATTTGTCATTTTTTTAAAATTCTCATCCATTTAATTTTAAATTACATTAAAAAAATATTTTTTCACCTTTGATTTCATATATTTTTATACATTCACACTATAATACAAACTATCAAACTAAAATAATTTTTCTAAATGATTTTATATATTTTATCTTACCCGCGAGTATAGCGTGGGCAAAAAACCTAGCAAACACTAAATGATGTTTTTGTAATTTTCAACTAGTTTTTGAGGCTTTATATTTATATTTTACATCTCATTTTATTTTGATCCTTAAAAATTTTTAATGAATTTTTTGTCCCTTGAACGGCTGCAAACTCAAGTGTGCAGCTTGTATTATGCTTGTTTCTGGAGGCCCAAACGTGCAGGCGAGCCTTGGGCAAAGGGAGGTTCGTAGGCCTGCCACTTTTTTTTTCAACCATTTACATTTTTTTTAATTATTGAATTGAGCATTAAAATCATTAAAAAATCATCAAATTGTTTTTTTTATTTTTTATTTTTACATAAGTTGATATATATATATATATATATATATATATATATATATATATATATATATATATATATATATATATTATTTTAAATTCATGTCTTCAATTTATCGTTTCTTATAAAAATTATCATCAAATTTATTTTTTATTTTTCTTTTTATTTAATTTTATTTGCTAATAAATATGATTTACTTTTTCTATATACTGATTTTTGAATAACTTTTTTAATTTTATTTAATTATTCTTTATATAATCAAAATTTTAAAATATAATTCATGTTTTTTATTTACTTATTTTTTATATACTCAAATTTTATTGAAATTAATTTTTTAATTTTTTTATTACACTTTATTAACTTCAATATATTTTTTACAACTTAAATTGTTTTGAAAAATATTTTTGTTGCCTTACACTATACATTCCGATATAATGATTGCGATCATGATGTATAAAAATATATTAAAATCATTTGCTATTTAATAATTTTATTAGAAATTAATTATGTATCTCCTAACATAACACCAAAAATTTACTGTTTTTTAATATTTTCAAATTAATTTCTTTTAAATAAAATAATTGAAATAATGTTTTAAAAGAACCATTTAACAATGTAAATAAAAATTTTTATACTAGCATTATTCATTATTTTATATATATAAAGCAAAAAAATATTATTCTCGTTAGTATTAAATAAGAATAAAAAAGATTCATTTTTTAATTCTTATACAAGTTTTTATATTAATTATTATTTTGTTTCTTCGATAGAATGTTGTAAAAAAATATTAAGATATTTTTTAAAATTTTATATTTAGAATGCTATGGGTTTTTATTTAACACTAAATGTATAAGAAAGAACAATTTTTTTTTTTTAACTACAAAATCTATTAAAAAAAATAGATACAAAATTTTAATTAAAAGTTATAAAATCAGATAAAATTTTATCTTTGTATTTAATTTAATATATTTTAGTTGATTGAAAACATAATACATATTATTAAATTAAAATTAATATGTTTAATTTGGCTCACAGTGTAGCAGAAGAAACTTTCTAGTGAGAATTTAAATTTTGTTCATACATAAATTATAATTAGGCACCGTAGAATTAGCAATATTTCATTCCAGCCTATATAATCTAAAATTTGTCAATTTTAATCTGGTAGTTTCCAAAAATTACCAATGTGGTCCCTAGAACTAACAATAGCTAACAACAATATTACAATTTTTTTTAAAAAAAAGTTATTAGAGTTTTTGTAAGATAGTTTTACTACCACTGTATTATGTATAGAAGTTGGAACGAAAAGATATATATATATATATATAATTAACGAAAAAATAAGGATAAAATGGACATCATATTTTATTTCGATCGATTCTACTAAATATTTATATGATTCAAGAATCCACATTGAATATTTTCCAGAATTGTAATTATTGAGAAACTTTAAACTATATAGAGTCTGCAATGTAGTGTTGCTAAATTTGCACGAGCTAAAATATAATTTACCGTTTGTTTGATTTATTCTGTTTTTTTCCTCTTTTTTTTTTTTTTTTTTTTTTTTTTTTTTAAGGTTTTGAAACTTTTATTATTATTATATTATTATTATTATTAACAAACTTCCTATCATATATGTTTATCCCAAAATTAATAACACAAGAAGAACCACTATAAGACCCACAAAAAACTCAAATTCGAAAAGAATAATAAAAACAATAAAAACAAAAGCGTTATTAACTTCCAAAAATTTGGAAGTCGTAGATAAGACATAGGGTGTTGTTGATTTATTCCGGCAGTCCAGATGGCCTTTACCTCAATCATTATTTGAAGGCTAAATAACCAAAAGCATTATTAACTTTGGATTAAATTGAGATAGACCTTTATTTGAATTAAATATTGATTATTGTCGTTATCCGACATTTAAGGAACTTCCAAAAAATTTATGAAAAATAAAAAAGAATTAAGAAAAAAATTTTAAAATCGCCACATATAATTAAAGATAACTAAGAATTTAAAAATGACATTAGATTCAAAGATTATTGAGTAAGAAGTTAGTTATATTTTTAGAAATATAATGATCAACCTAAGGCACCATTAAAAAAAAAGTACTATGTTTGGTCTAATTCTAAAAATATATTCCAAAAATTATACTTGCCAAATTACTTCCTAAGCTTATTTTCAAGCTTAATTATCATCTAGGTCAAATTATTATTATTTTTTTTATTGCAGCATCGTTTTAAATTGAAGTTGGGTCCAAAGATTAGGAGCCACATCAATTTAGTATCGAATCCGGTTATATCCTAACATGACCAACATGTCAAGAAACAATTTAATTAGTTAAAGGTGTTTAAACCGATTGGTACCTATTCTAGCTATTTTTATTTTTATTTTTATTTTTTATCTTTTATTGTGGGTTGAGACCAAAATCAATCCCTATTCAAATAGGAGATTGTTAGGTCGACTTAATTGTTTTTTAATTGTTCCTAAGAAGGTGTATTTTCTTTTATTAACAAGATGAATTTGATGAGGAATTATTATCGATCCCTAGAATCTAGAAGACTTACTGATCTATCATCTTGCTAAATAAAAAGTAAACATATTACAATATAATTATAATAATAGCATAATTGAAAACGAATTACAAATAGAGAGCAAATAAACTTCAAAAATTATGAAAATTAAAATACAAAGCGAGAACTAACATAAATACAAACATTAAAATTTTCAAATTAAAATAACAGAAAATACTAAGCTTTAAATTTAAATTATAAAACAAATCACATTAGTAATTAAAATGGTAGCCAAATTGTAAATAAATTATAAATAAATAGCAAATGAACTCATAAAATTACTAAAATTAAAAGACAAGACATGGACAAACATATATTCAAACCCTAGGAATTTCATATTAAAATAATAAAATTTACTAGAATTAAAATCAATTTTTGAAAAAAATCACATTAATAATTAAGATAAATGATAAAGCAATAGTAAATAGCAAATGAATTCATA